CAGGCAGGGAACAAAGTCAACTCATGTCTCCTCAGGCAAGCCACTTATTCAGCCAGACAGCCTTCTATAATGCTATACAATAAAAAAAAAAAAAAAAAAGCACCAACAAAAAGCGTTATTAAGAGAAGAGATGTTTCACCAGATGTGCAGGGAAGAACTTAGTCATCATGTTCCCTATCGGGACTGTTCCAATTCATTTTCATTTGATCTGAAGGCAGCGTGAGTAACAAAGCAGATCTGATCTTGATTTAGCCACACCGTGTTTAAGCTTCCATCTAAGAATAAAACACCTGAATTGCGGGGGCGTCCATTTGTAAACAGTTTGTAGACATAGCTCATAGTAGGTCAGATTGAAGCTGGCCAAGAATGTGCTTATGAACAATGCTCCAAGGAGAAGATTCCCAGCATTCCTCAGTGGTTAAGGAGAGGTACCGGCCTTCACAGATAGGAAGTCGTCTGTCATTAGGGGGTAATCACTTCTTGAGGAGGATTGCAATGCCTGGAATGATTACTGTTGTTATCGGCAGTGAAACTTGGCGCAGAGAGGGCGGATGAGGTTTTTTTTTCTTTCTTTTTTGTCTCTGTTTTCTCTCTTTGTGTGTTTTGATCAGCTTGACCGATCCGTTGTAGGTCTCTTGTGTTTTTCTCATCAGTGTGCTGCACATTTTGTAGCTCACAGTGCACACTCACCCGGATTAGGTGGTGTATTAATGCTTCAGTGTTGACTTAAAGTTAGTTGGTATTTCTTACCTAGGGGCATTTCTAATTACTAATGGCTCATGTGTAATGATGCCTATCATGTCAGTGGTGCAACAAGGTGGATGCAATCCGTCATGCAGACTTGTGTTAGAACAACAGGGAATTTACCCAACTGTGGTGGTTTGCTGTCTCCCACACCACTTATCTGTGTTTGTTTGCAGGGTTTAGGTCCTGCAGTACTTTCAAGTGGGTTGTCTGGGTTCCTTAGTTTTACTGTTTTTGTCCTCTCCACTCTTAGCTCCTTCCCTCAATCCTTTCTTTCTTGCCTTCTGCCAGTTGAGCCAAGACTTCAGGTGGAATGATGCTGTTACGAAAAGAGCCCGTCAACGCTTGCCCGACATGCCAAGCCAAGTATTTGTCTTTTGGGGTCCCCTCTTACCTCCTCCTCCTCCTCCTCTTACTCCACCCCGCCACCACCTCCCCCGGATCCTTGAGAACAGGAAGTGTATCTTGTTAAGTGATGGATGGGCCCCCTGCTCTTGCTGAGAGGAAAGAAAAAAAAAGCCTTTCTTTCCCTCCAGGGCAGTCAGATGAGTTTAGCAGTCTCAAAGCTGAGGGTCGGCTCTGCTTTTTGGGAGCGCCTTGGAACCCTTGGTGCCTGAGCGCCTGGAAGCCACAGGCACTTCTGCATTATGTGTGCAGCGAGAATTAATGGCTGATGTTGAAGCAAGTGACGTTTTTGCACCCGAAAAATTGATTCCGAATTAAGAAAATCAATCCAAGGAGTGTTTACCGGAATTTGTATGTGCTTACAGACATGCTCGTGTACGTAAATGTGTTTGTCAGCATGCGTGGGAGTGACTGTCTGTGTGAGTTATTTAGCCGGGGGTCACCAGGTTTGTGTTGGCACACAGCCGTCAGATACTTCCAGGGAGAGCAACTCAGGAAGTGTCCCTGGCACGTCCTCTGCATAATGCAATATGCTGTGCAGCAACTGGCTCAACCTGCTGTGACAAACAACCACAGACTAAAGTCCCCACTACACCCATCGCACCTCCTTCACACTGTTTTGTACCTACAATATCCATTAATCTGTTGGCAGAACCATAACAACAAACTTAATCCCACAGGTCTTGTTTCACGATTGCTTTGCCAGATGCACCTTATCAACTCTCAAGCCTTTGCAGGTTCATAATTGAACAGTTATGGGGATACTAGAATATGTTAACATGCTTTAATGTTCAAAAACAGGCCAGTCTGTCTCTGGCTTGGTTACAACCAACAACTTAGCACGTGAATACTTGGAAGGAGCTGTTTTGTTTCTTTTAAACATAACAACTACATTTAAAGGTTATAATTTTGAATCTCCAGATTGGCCCAACAAAATGAGAACGAGAATTGAGCTGTTTCCTGTCTAGGAAGCAGTCCCGTTAAACTGTAGGGAACACAATAAAAGGTTGAGGTTGTACTGCTGAGGAATAGCTTTAAATATCTAGTTTGAATTACTAATTCTTCATCTTTTGTCCCTATAATTTGCTCTATAGAAAGTGTCAACATGGTAATGCCACCAGCTAAAGTAGTTCTCGCTTTAACCATAAACTACATATAAAAGATGGATGTGGCGACAGTGATGTTAAACATTGGGGTTTGTTGATTGCCATTTTGAAGCCTTGAGTTTGGAATTTGGCCATCGCCATCATGGTTTGTTTTTTAAATAGTGTGAGAATACCAAGGGCTGGATTTGACTGAGAACTCGAGGACATTACAGGTAGCCAAACACTAAAACATTCTCTGTTTTATCGTCTATTTTACTCTAAATGAAACCGTGATTTACGAAATGAACATCATGCTTTTCTCAAAAAGTCTAGAAACTACTGATTGAGATAATAAACTCAATAGAAAAATGTTTTCTGGGGTAACAGGACAAGTCGGCTCATTTTCTACCTCAAAAACTTCTGTAAAATCAGACTTCTCTTTGCAACCAGTGCAGTCTTCCCCTGCAGGTGTCAGGCATTTCCACACTGGTTTACTTACTTTATCTCAAGGCTACGTTTGTTTGAGGGTGTGTCAAACTAGCCACTTGGTGGGCATTTTACTGAAGTATTACGTGCATGACATAAATAAGTAACGGAAGAAAAGGTTGGAACGCCAGCAAGGCAAATCAGCCAGTTCAGGGCCAGTGTTTTCTGTGGCAGAGAGTAACTCCCTTTGACGTAGACTTGGGCTTTGTAATTTTGCAGACCTGCACAAAAAGCTATATGACACACTAAAAGAAGAGGGACAAACCCAAAAGGCATAATATGGTTCTCTTTAATGTAATGCTCCAGCCCTAAAACCTGCCATCAATCCATCTCCCAGCAGGTCCTCCCCAACAGACACCCTTTTCCCTCTTTGAACGATGGTGACGTTATTCCTTTCTATCCGTTTTATGACGATAGTTTGTCATTCAGAGCCACACACCTCTCCATAAACCAGTGGAAGAATCCAGAGACCTGAAAAACATTTCCTCTCATGATCCATTGCTCCTTTGTCAGCCGTGGCTCTGTTGTGGTTACCTAAGGGTAGCTACTAATGTTTGTCTCCAGTTTCCGTCCTCTCATGCTCCGTACACATACACAGGAAAAGCAACAGATAAAAGACAGGGAAACGGACCATCAACCCAGTACACTGGAATTAGTTATCCAGAGGGGAAATAAAGAAACCCATAAAACAAAAGTCTCGCAATTTCCTCCAGGACATTTCACGCAGATGGACTTAAAATGAAGCATGGCGAAGACCATTCGGTGGTTTCTGTCACCTAAAGGTCAGTTTAGTCGCTGAAGCTCTTTAGAACAGCTCTTCGTTATCGCTAAACTGTTGTAAATGCTGCAGATGTGTAAATGAACATTATGTCTGAACTCTGTAAGTCAAACTATGTTCCTGACTTTAGAAAGCATGAGTGTTTCAAGTGTTTTTCATGTTGTGCAGCTAATAAAATGTGAATAAACAGTAACGACTGTTGCATTTCCTCATAGTCCAAGTTGATATCTTTGATTAATGGCTTCATATCGCTTGTCTAGCCCAGCTAATAATTTAGTACAACACAGAAAAAAGCAGATCTAGCAAATACTTTGCTCCTATAGTTTGGCATTTCTGCTTAATGATTTTGTTTTTCTCAATGATTAATCAATAATTAAAATGATTAACATTATCAAAATTTGACCCAAGTACAGAGTGCCCTAGCAAAGAAATAATTAATAAGAAGAAGAAATTAGAAATAATGTGGGTTATTTCCATCAGTGAGCTTCAGTCTGCCTATAAAACAAACAGAATGGCACATTGTAGATGTTCATAATTTCTGTATATAAAAACAACAGCAAGAAGACTGACAGTCTTGCCCCGGACATGGTGCATGTAAGGTGGCAGGAACAGAAGAGTGATATGTAAACAAGAGTTCAAAGGCTGCTGGTCGAGTCCCTCCAACCTTCACTGATCACTCCTGATGTGACCTCCTGCGTGGCTTGTGTCTGCATGTATCTCCTGCCTCGTCTCTGCTGGACAGAGTTTGGCCCCGCTGGAGCCTGTCTGGCCCCGAGCCAGGGGCTCCACTGTCTCAACAACAAGGACTCAGGAGTCTTGGGAGAAGCACAACAATGAAACTGAGTTCCAGCTGATGTTTGTTTTTCTGTTGATCCTTCATTCCTTTGCTGACATGAAATGCTCGTTCACACTGAGTGAAATGCGTTCAGTTATTTTCCAAACCCACTGCTCGTTGGGCTGGTTGGCTCGTCAAATGGTGTACCACACCGCAGCTTGTCACGGCCTGGCTCAGGACAGCAAATGGAGACAGGGCATATTTGTCCGTCCGTCTGACTGTCTGTGTTTGAGAGGCGCCTGCCACTTAATGACGTCTGACAAGCGAGACAGCGGCAGCTTTGGGTACTCAAGGACTGTTTTGGGGTCACGGAGACGTGATCTGTAGGAAGTGGAGGGTTGATCAGATAACGTCAACATTGTCTCCGCGCTGACTGCCAGAAGTGGAAAACTTCAATTTCACAGCGTGCATCTCAGGCATTTGGTTCATGGTCGTGTCTAAAGACGCGTGTGATCAATGCAGGAGTGGAGCAAGCGTCAGTTCATAACAAGCCAGCAGTATGGAGGTCAAAGGTCCGAACCACAACATCCTGAAAGTGATTATGTCAAAGGAAGAGATGTGAAATGAAAGTGAACTTTGAATCAAAGAATTTCATTTCACTTGTGCATGACACTTGGTGAAATATGATGGTAAAATAAGTGCACTCTGTCTTCTCCCTGTCCCACAGGCTCTGATGCGTCCAGGTCGCCTCGACCGAATCGTCTATGTACCTCTTCCAGATGCTCCGACCCGACTGGAAATATTTTCTCTCCAGTTCCGGAACATGCCAGTGGCAGAATCTGTGTCTCTTGATGATTTGGTGACTCGGACCAATAAGTATTCTGGAGCAGAGGTGAGCTACGTTTGCATATGTTTTATTATCTTGTGTTGTTAATTTAGAAAGAGTTCAGAATGAAAGATTCCACTATAAGGACTTTAGTTTATGTTTAATGAATTCACAGGCTGGATCAGAAATAAGATCTCAAGCCAACAGCTGCACAGAGAGTCTGTTTCTTCTGCTGCACTGACACACCAAACCAGTACAAACCAACACACTATAAAGACAAATGTGAAAATGAAACTTTTGCTTCAGACAAGTGAAAAAAATATCTGTGCAGAAAGACTATGTTGAATTAAAAAAAAAAAAGATTGTTTTTGCTTAGCAGTTTTAAGTTTAGATCTTGAAACGAGTAAAACCCTTTAATGTTTTCTCAATAGATTTTGGGAAGTCAACTTTTCATACTCAAGCTGAAAAATAGATTCAGTATCATACTTAATGTTGTGTTAAGTAACGCAGTGTCCGAGGATTCAAACTTCCTCTCTGCTTTCACAAGCCCAAATCTTACTTTTTCACTTCTCCCGACTGCCAAATAAGAAATTGTGACTGTCGGCTGCGTTGCGGGGAGATGTTACTGCGCTTTTCCATGATGTCTGTGTCGTGTCTGTGCTGTGTCACAGAGTGGCCTCGTGATCTCACAGTGGACTGGGAGTAGTCGTACAAACGCTCCTTTGTGTGACAGATTTGTCTCTCTGCGTTTGTCTGCCGCGTGATTCACATTGTCTTAAGCAGAGAAACTGCCACTGTTCCCTGGGACACAAATACCTAAGAAATTCTAAGAAATGGTGCACAGTTTTGAACAGTGTGTGTCACATGTTGGCCAGTTGAACTCACTTACCTGCTTTTTTTAGTTTGGTAGGACTTTGTCTGTGTCTTTTTTGGTAATGTGGTGCAGACTGTTAAGGTTTTCTGTGCAGGATCTGGTTCCCACTATCTCTGTCTTGTTATTTTCAGAGAAATCATGCTTGTCCATGACCTATAAATTGACCCATAGTTCACACACAGTCTGACAGAAACAAAACATTCCTGTAAGATGTACAGTATATCTTTTCCCCTCAATGTAAATCCCTGCTGTATATTTAGACTTCAAGGGTTACAGACATGATAGAAATGTCACGCTGGTCTTCTGACAAGCTTGGAAAACAACCATTTATAAGCTAGCGCGCTGGGAAAACACCGATTTTATTGATGTCACAGTCGTGCTTTCTGTGTGACATGTTTGTAAGTGCCGCTGTGTTGTTTCTTTCGTTTGACTGCCTGAGGTAGTGCAGGAGCCAAAGTGCGTCTCCACGTAAACACAGAAATCTTCTCAAAGGACCTGAAAACCACGTTTTGAAATTTGAATCTTTTATCCACCATTGTCAGATAAATACTGGTTATTCTTACAACAGAAACTGCTTTTCAGGATCTTCTCATGGGTTTGAAGTAGAATACTTTTTTCTGCAAGTCCTGCCATTGATCCAGTGTCCCTAGAATAAGTTACACATAAAACAGAATTAAAAGAGTACAAATGCATCTCTTTTCTTTTGTAGTTTGAGCTGTTTGTGTCCAGATCCACTCTGATATTAGGCTTTTTAACACAAAAACCTTAGATCACAAAACTGCAATATTTGTAAACTGAGCCCCTCATTGTCTGTGTTACAGGAAGATGCTACTGTCAATCAGTAATAAGCAGATTACACCTAGCCTAAAGCAGATCACCTATCATATGAATGTGTTCATAAAGACGATCTCTTTCTTGCTTTAACACTCCATAGGCAACCACAAATATTTCACATCACAGAGAATTACTCAAGATGTAACAACACGTTTTCACTTGATTTAACACAGAAACACGTGAAAAGGTGCACACCGAACCCTGTTTAAGACTGTTTATTAGTTCTTAAATCAAGTCTGATCAGGACAGCGAACTGTTAAGTTGTTTCTGTCTTCTCCTCTGACATTGGGATTCTCTTGAGGGCAGTTTGAGGTTATCTGTAGGGGCCTCCTCATATCCTGAAAGCACACTCTCTATGTTTCCTGACTCGGCAGCCCTCACCCAAAAATCAGCCTAAAGCAGGCGTACACCTGGAGCAGGTATGCAGTGAGAAACCAATCCCCCGCTATCAGGTGTTCTGTTTGACATCGGGGTTTCTGGTGTAGTGTCTCATCTGTGGAATGGAGGTTTGCAGTCACTTGTCGTTGACTTCTACAAACCCCACAAAAATTCAAAGGCATGCCAGTCAAGCTGATAAGAGTTCGTAGGTGGAAACTCTCACCTGTGCGTGTATTATATTTTTACATACCAACGCTATAGATCAAATTAGATTAGATGAAACTTTAAACTCCCCTGATCACTGAGGGGAAGTTTGGGGGGGAAAAAAACAGGATGTAGATAACAGAGCAACACAGCTCTGGAGATAATGCTGTGTTTACCAGGAATGAGCTCCAAGGGACAAATACAGCAAGTAAATAAACAAATCAATGTGCAAACATACTGCATGTGGCTATTGATTGGTGATTTATTGACCAGCTGTTTTTTTTAAGCATCAAGGCCTTTGCATTTGTGCACCAGCAATGCAGTGGTTAAAACATTTAAGCATAAAGTAGTTTCAAGTCGAGAGGATCACCATTTTGCTGTCTGAATCTTTTTCTTTCTTTCTTTTTTTTTTTTTAGCGAAATACCCAGATTACTGTAAAAGGAACAAGATTGCTTTTTCGCCTGGATGTTATCCCCCCACAAATCCCAAAGTGTTTGTGTTTCCTGCTGCAGGAAGACACCAGTCACCACAGTTTACAGTAAATTAGACCTTCTTGCAGTGTTGAGCACTCAGCGAATGTTTGCTATAATAGATTGAAATCAGCCACATCAGCTCCTAATCCCCAGTTCCTCTGACTGCAAAATAACAGTCAAAAGCTAAAAAATGTTTGTGCATCAGTATTTTTATACTTTTAACATTTATAACTGATTTCCAAAAATGTGGTGTATGCTGTGATGAAACTGAAAGCAACGGGCCTACCAGTGTTTATGCACATGTAAATATCTGAAGTAAAAATTTGAACAACAAAATCAAATCAAAACAGATAGAACCTTAAAAAATGCATCCAAATTATTAACATGGTTCTATATTTTTAAATAGAAATGAACATATGACAATAATAGATGCAAAGATGGGAATGTAATTTAAATGAAGGTGTGAATTTTATCCGTTACCCTTTTTTCTGTCACATTAAAAATGGCATTTCTGACAAGTTTTAGACTAGAAGCATGAAGGCAATTCATTTCTCAAACCACGTGTCTTGTTTAGCAAATAGCCTTTCTGAGAGATGTGATGTTTTTAACGCTCTGAACCCCCGAGCAGTTTCTAAGCATTTTTTACTCCTGTCACGTTTTAACTGTCTCTGGGCTCATTTTTCACTGCAATATAAAGTCCTGCACCTCTATGGGAACAACACAACCATAGCTAGAAGGAGAGAGATGTCCCCTGTGCAGTTACAACTCAGTTGTAATGCCATAAATCATAACAAAGCAAAAGTTAAATCCCTTTACTTAATTGTTCTACAAAAATTAAAAAAACAAAAAATTGAAATTAACATGTATATCTTCTCCCCAAGTGCCCACAGGTGTCAGTAATACTGGACAAAAAATTGTGACTCCAAATACTACAATAGAATAGAATAGAATAGAATAGAATAGAATAGAATAGAAT